AATAGATATTGTCAAGTGTTTTAGACAAAAGCACAGGGCAAGGAGCGCCGTTGAAGATTCTCGTTTTGGGTATCAGAACCAACACAGTGAGTGTAAGTACACGAAGAAGTAGTTATATAAAAACATTATTGTATACTTTTATATTTATAATGTTGCCTGCAATATATTGGTTTTTAGTATTATTGTATTTTTTTCTCAGCTTATTCAATTTTTAAAGGTCTAGTTTGTTGTTATTATGTTAAATTAATAAGTTTATAAACTCCCGTAATGTCTATTTTGTCGATGCTTTTGAGCCTGACATGCTTTGTTGATACGTGAATCTCATATAGTCATATATATTTTCCACACAATGTTTTCCTTTACAACGCAAGTATAAAATAATAAACACCTATTATTGCACCGGGGTATAAACGGAACATCTCAGGGTTAAAAATCACTCATTCAACTACTATTTATTTCCATAATAACTAGTATTAATAAAAGTTTGATCAAACCTTTTTTTCCTTTGAGAGCTCGCATAGATATTCAATATATCAGATAAAAGATCTACTTAAATTTCAATGTGCAAACGTCCACAAAATTTTGCGAAAGATGAAACGTGTTTGTATAAGTTATGCAGTAAGTTTGGCATTCACGTCAGCGCCCCGCGAGTAAATCCAAATTTTCAATCTTGGCGGTTATCATTTTACCAAAGCTCCCATAATATTTGCTCGCCCGAGAGATCTTCGAATTTCATATTTATTCGCGGGAGCAAACACGCCGACCCGCCACGCCGGAACAGATATTATTGTGCATTTCGTATAATATTGTTTGCTATTTGCCACATTCGCTGTTTGTTTTCGGGATATGAGGGGAACGGTGCGAAGTTTCGTACTCAGAGTTAAAAAGCTTTTGAATGCCCTTCTGATATACTTAGATCATAGGAATCGTAGGATATGAAAGCAAGCAATCCATTAAAGTCGGTGAATAGATGACTGGTATCCGAAGATGCGACTTCGTCCTCTGATAACCATAATACACGGATATTTATGCTATGCTCATATGTCGGAAGTAATGGCTCGTGTAGTTGATATCTTACGTAGATATGCTTAAAAAGTTTCATATTATCAATGAGCATATTAAAAGTCTATAGTTTTTGATAATACTGTTACATGTACTTAACCAAAATAGGTTCCTTTTCAGATTTGATGATTTGAAATGGATTTCTTAAATCAAAACTTTGTCTTGAGTATTGCCAATAGTGTCAGTCTTGAGTTATAGAGAAAGAACGGCTTGATAACGATTTAAGTTGTTTTTCGTTATACTAGCATACATTAACAACTTTGAATTATATAAAGTGATTATTATTATATATAGGTATACGTGCAATACGTAAATTTTTATCGGCTTGTTGTCAATAATACTAAAGGGAATATCCATATTACTCCATCTGCAGAAATGTAAACCATAATATATTATATTTGGCATATAAAAGGCTCGCTTATCTAAGGGGTTTGACTAGAAACGAACATAAAGGGTGATCCTCTGTGACAAATACCGTGATATACTGAGCGACAGTCGTAAGGGAAATATTTTTATAAGATGAAACATTATTATTTTTAGGGGAAAGGATCAGACGCTCATATTACGCGTTTGCAATATCCATTGTTTTGGTGGAATAATGTTCTCTTTACATTTTATTGTTATTACTTCCAACTCACAGTGAAAAAGTATAGGGTTTCTGATTAAAATAGCTAACAATTAAAGCCGGTAAAGTTTCAGTACAGGAAATTGTACATCGATAAACAGACAATAAAACAAATTAATGCCTGTAAACCCTAAAATTGGACAAGTTCAATGCAGAGGTCGTTACCGCTAGGAAATATCCCGTCAAGTATTAACATTGAAATCTGTTCGTTGTATTCATTGTCATTAACGTAACAGTACACGCGTGGAAATCTAGTTGTTAATACTCTTAAAATAAGGGTCGGTTTGCGATGCGGCGTCTGGTGTGAGCCAATCAAAACATACAAGGAGCATATTGATTCCGAGAAGTGTCGCTGCTAACGTGGAAGCTGAAGTTGAATACATTAGCCAGCGGCGTAATGAAGTCTCGTTGCTTGTAAACAAACAACGGGGGCGGGCGGCACTAAGGCCGCCATGGCCCGGGGCGCGCGCGCACCCCATTTACAGGAATTCTATTTCCACGACAAGCGTCATGTGTTAATTAACTCGCACCTACGATATTGAGATATCTTCTCAGATGCTACAGTTGTTATTAGACAACGGCTTATTGCGCGCTGTTCTCTTGCTGTAGGCGCAAATTGTTGTCTTTGTGCTGTTTGCTTATGTCTTCAATTGTAATAAGGAACGTATTCCTTAGGTACTATCATTCGAAGTATATGAAACTAACTTATAATGAGGAAGATATGGAAATGACATTTTGTAAATATGCCGTAACGCGTCAAATTATGAGTAAATGACATGTTATGAAGAGCCTGAAAAAGGTTTCATGACTTGGGTATAATGGATACATAGTGCGTTTGTTTTAACATAACACCTTTATCGCTCCCGTGTGTAGTGGTTGAACACAAAGGTCTTGGATTCGATTTCTTTGCGACCTTAAATTTATCAATGAAACAAACGCAATGTTTGTTGACCGGCTGTCAAATCTAATAATAAATGTAACGGATACATCTCCGAGTGACACATGTTAATAGCCATTTTTATATGATGAGTGTTCCACTTCAGAAAATAAACATTATTAAAGAAGCTGTTCGGAAACCACATAAAGCCAGCAGCTGCTCTCACCACTTTATGATGAAAGGCGAATTTCTGAAAACACCGGCCGGTATCAGATTTCATGTTATAACTTCAGTTTTTAATGGATCTTTGTTAACCGTTTTATCGTGAAACTTTCATTGTATTTTTAGAGGTTTACGTTTTTCGTTATATTTTTAGTCATTTCCGGGTTTGAATATATCTTTCAAAAATAACTTAGTTTATTCCATTGAGCAGACTCTATTAGCCTATATTGTTCTCTCTTGAGAAGCAGATTCCCAACATTGATGTCGTCTTTAAACCTGAGCTAGCCACTAATTATTTCTTTGTGTCCAACTCATATGTGAAGAAATCCTTCACGTCAATGCATTTGAAAAATAAATTTAATTTACTTCTTGTAAATAATGTATTTTTACCATAGTATCCTTATACTTAGTTATCCTTATTTAACACATGCATCCTGCCAGTGCTGGCATACGGGAGCGAAACATGGGCTTTAACTAAAAACGTAACAAATAAACTCTCCGTATGTCAACATGCCATGGAAAGGAGCATGACTGGGATCAAAAGAAAAGACAAAGAAAGGAGTAGCAACACCAGAAGAAAGACTAAGGTACCGGACATAACTTTGAAAATAAGAAGACAAAAGTGGAAATGGGCAGGTCACATGATCAGGGGAAAGGATAAATGGAGTAAAATAATCACACAATGGTACCCAAGAGATGGAAAGAGAAAGAGAGGTAGACCACAAAAAAGGTGGGATCAGGACATTAGACAAGTCGCGGGAACAACATGGGGTAGAGTGGCCATAGAAAGGCAGGAATGGAGAAGATTGGAGGAGGCCTTTGCCACCTGGCAAACGGACACGCAAAAGTGGAACAAAAGAACAATCTACGAAAAATATAGAAAATAGTGTCATGTCCGAAAAGAGGCTATAATTATTATTATTATTAAATCCTTAAATGAAAAATTTATAATATACCTACAGAAAAAGTCCCATAAAGATTATAGTACCAACGCGTTACCATACATATCCTATATAGCAAAATGAAATTCATTGCTGCTATTGCAAACATTACCAGAGAGTTAGGAGGCTGTCATATAGTCATACCATGCAAATGGAAAAGCAGGACGAATGGCTCGTAAAAATTGCTATTTTGTTTTGCAATAACGCTGGTTTTATAAAATTTACTACGCTCCAGGCGTTTTATGAGTCCACAAATATTTTCATATTATTGCCATATATAGTTTTAAATAAATATTATGTGAGGACTACGACAAAATTTACGATAATAACATAATTTGTTTAATGAGTTAGACCGAATGAGATCTATTTTTACTCTATGGACATAGAACGGTCTACTATAAAGCCGACCAATCAGGGACATCCTTCGGACAGTTAACAATTTTAAGATTGTAATTTGACGGTTTCATTTCGATAGATCTACCGAATAATAACACGTTAAATTGTAAACAGTACGTTGGGGTTCACAATCTTTCGACAGTTCACAATCTCGCGAGAAAGATTACAATCTAACGGTGTTTACAATTTTACGGTGACATATACACAACCGCGAAATTGAAAAAGAAATTAATAATATGTATAACCGTTAATTTTCAACTGTAGGTACCATATTCATAAACGAAACAATGAAAATCGGTCTGAGTTTAGTATGACCAAGTATACTTATTAATAGAAAAGCGTTTCTTTAGAAAAATTAACCACAAGAACAGGTGAACAAGCAATGAATTACCCGCCGTCATACGAGTTTAATCTTGACGACCATTAAATTGCCGCAATATTTGCTTTTCGACAGGAATGTTAAAACATTTTAATGTTTCGTACAATAAATCTTTGCAAATTATCTAAAATGAATACTTTGGTGTGTTCAATGATGCATATAATGTTTATTCTCAAGCTTTTTCGTAAGTGGTTTTAGGAACAATGCGATGACCGCATTAGTTTGACTCTTACAATAATAATAATTATGAAAGTGAGACAGCTATACAAATGTATTAGAGTGAGAACGATCAATAATTATTGTTTTGCGTTTTCATAACTCGTTCGACTTTTGTAGTGTGTGAGCCCAAGGAAATCGGTGATCTATTTGCTAATTACTTTACAGTTAAATCGCCGATTGGGCCCTCACAGTCGAGGCTAGATGCTGTGCTAGACCCAGTGTAAAGGTGGCATAAGTTTGAAACCTTCTATTAAAGAAATAGATAGCACTATAAAGTCTATGGTTAGAGGTAAGTCACCAGGGCACGACGGTCTCAGCATCGAGCATCTCAAGTTTGCAGGCCTACACTTGCCTCGCGTTCTATTTCTTCTATTTAATGCTTGTATAGCGCATAGTTTCATGCCTAGAGATATGATAAGTAGTATTGTAGTTCCAATAGTTAAAAATAGGACAGGCGATCTCGCCGATATTCATAACTACAGGCCTATATCTCTGGCAACCATTATATCAAAAGTGTTTGATGGTGTGCTTAACACTCAATTAAGTAAATATATAAAGCCACACGATAACCAATTTGGTTTTAAACCTGGGCTGTCCACAGATGGTGCTATTTTGAGTCTTAAGCATACTATTAACTATTATGTTAAACGTAAGACGCCTGTCTTCGCATGTTTTTTGGATTTGTCCAGGGCATTTGACCTTGTTTCCTATGATCTGCTTTGGAAAAAACTTGAAAAAATCCATTTACCACAGGATACCATAAATATTCTTAAATATTGGTACCAAAGTCAGGTCAATAGTGTGCGTTGGGAGGGTGTCCTGTCGGATCCGTATAGGATGGAGTGTGGGTTGAGGCAAGGTGGGATGACTTCTCCCATACTTTTTAACTTGTATGTAAATTGAGCTGATAGAGGAGTTAACCGGCACCAGAATTGGCTGTAACGTAGATGGCGTTAACATTAACAATTTAAGCTATGCTGATGACATGGTGCTGCTTAGCGCTTCTGTCTGCGGGTTAAGAAAATTATTAGCTATTTGTGAAAAATATGCTGCATGATGCATCCCATGGTCTTATCTATAATGCCAAGAAAAGCCAAGTGATGGTGTTTGAGTCAGGGAGGAGGAGACTACAAAATGTGCCGACGGTTACTATTAACAACTGTGTTTTACAGCGAGTTAGTAAGTTTAAATACCTTGGGCACGTCCTACTCCCCGACCTCAAAGATAATGGTGATATAGAGAGAGAACGAAGAGCGTTGTCGGTGAGAGCAAATATGCTGGCTCGTAGGTTTGTACGTTGTTCTCATGACGTAAAAGTCACATTATTCAGAGCACATTGCACTAACTTCTACACGTGCGGCCTATGGGCCAGTTTTACTCGACAAACATACAACTCGCTTCGGGTGCAGTATAATAACGCATTTAGGGTGTTGCTGGGGCTGCCTCGCTTCTGCAGTGCATCAAGAATGTTTGCAGAGGCGCGGGTGGATTGCTTTTTCGCCACTATGCGAAAGTGTTGCGCTTCTTTGGTGCGCCGGGTGCGGGGCAGCTCCAGCAACGTCTTACGGATGATAGCCGAAAGAATGGACATCTCCGCAGGGCCCTGATACCTGATAGTTTTTTATTTAACTACTTTTTCCTTATTTTTACTAATTCTCTAACATAGATCTTAAGAAACTATTGTTACTAACTCACTAATCAATCAATGGACTGTATTTGTCTGATTAATAAAAATTATTATATTATTATATTACGTTGCATTTTACTTGTATACGTTGATGTTCTCAGATGTATGAAGTTATCGTGATGGTGAATTGTAGTGTGTTTGGTTAGGCTTGGCATTGTACAAAATTCAATATACGTCACATCTGATTAAAACACTGTTTTTTTTTTTTTTTTTATATGAGGCAAACGAGCCTGCGGGACGACCAAAAAGGGCAGTCCACGCAGCCCATAGACACCCATTTTTAGTGGGTGCGTTGCCGGCCTTTGAGGGAGGAGTAGGCTCGCTTTTTGAACATTTGGAGGTCGTATCTCTGAGGGAAGACCCCCCCGGGAGCCGATTCCACAGTTCGCTAATTCGCAAAAGAAAATGCCTTGTGAAGCGGACCGTGGAAGACCTCCAACCATCAAGATGATGCTGGTGAAATTTAGAGGTCGTTCGGCTCGTACGGTGTTGAAAAGAGGCAGGAGGGATCAACCCAAACAATTCTTCCGAACACTCTCTGTAATAAGCTTTGTAAAAAACGCAAAGAGACGCAATGTCTCTGCGTAGCGAGAGACAATCAAGCCAATCAGTAAGACATTGGAGATTGACAATTCGACAAGCCCTTCGCTGAATTTGGTCAAAAGGAAGAAGCTGGTATTTGGGAGCACCGGCCCAGAGATGCGAGCAGTATTCCATATGAGGTCGTACTTGAGCTTTGCATACGTTGCACCTCAGTGAAATACTGCTTAGCCCTACCCAAAACACCCAGCTTTTTGGAAGCCAGTTTGGCTTTTTCTTCCAGATGACTGCGAAATTGGACTTCTTTCGAAATGCCAACCCCAAGGATACTGAGGGTGTGTGACGAACTAAGGAGAGCGCCTTCAAATTGAGGAGACACGACAAAAAGGATCTTTCTTGGCAGAAAACGAACAAACCTGAGTCTTACCTGAGTCAAAACTGTTAACAAATCTAATGTGCTATACGCCAATACTCAGTCGAATACAATCTCCGGATATTGAATATCCAAGTGACTAATTCTCGCTTATAGCAGTGTTGGCGTAGTGGCTTCAGCGTCCGACTTTTATTCTTGAGGTCGTGCACCAATAGACTTTCTGTCTAAGTCCTGAGAAATCTTGAGAAATCTTTTATGTAATATTTTATGTGGTAAATATTTCAAAAGAAATAAAAATGTGAGGGCGGTAAAAGCTATCAGCTGTTTTTCATTCAGCACATTGCAAAATATATTTCTGCGTAATCAATCCCAAATTAGATTTGTTACATTTACTAAATTAATACTATATAAAATAGGCTTCCGAACCAAATATTAAGGTAGCATAAATATTTCGTAATTTTCGTTGCTATTAAATATTGCTGATGAAATTTAAAAACTATTTGGAACTTAGTTAAATAAACATTTTATTTCCTTCATATTTTTTGTTTCATATGACGTATTCTTATGTATCATTACGATTGTAAAATTTATTTTAAAATCTACAGTGAAAAATATTATTTCAGCAGGAATCGAATCGAAAAGGGTGCGTTGCAGACTAACACGGGTACAATCTAAAATAACGTATATTTTAACAGATATCCAATTGTTTTAGGAGATTTAATTTCCGTTAAACTAAAAAATTACTATTTTTTGGCATTTATTTCCTTAAATAATGTAAAATAAATCCTTTCAACCAAAATTATTTTAACATTTAACAACCCTATTAACTATCATTTAATTAAATCATGAAAATTGATTTATGACAATTCTTTAAAGGAAGCATTTGTATACGTGTGTTCAGATAATAAACACATCTTAATTCGTTCAGCTATTAAAATAAACTTTTAAAATATGGAACGCCAGATTTTATTTATGTAGTACAATTTATGGAGTAGAGATGCGCGGGCGCCGATCTCCGATGACACGTGTATGACAGAGTGTTGAAGCTTATATTTTTCAGACGATTTATGGCATTATAAGAGTTCAGTGTATCCCATTAATACGCTCCGAGATATATTCGTGATTTTCTTTTAATGTAGGGTATTATTGCTCACCTATGCCCTAATAATGATGAACGTTTTTTTAAAGATAAGATTCGATAATTAATTAGCGTTAAGTGTGATTCCCATACTTAATAAATTAAGGCTTTATTCTCTGACCATTATTTATAAACAGAAAAAAATAACAAATAATGTCTTTTGGCATAGGCCTATATAAGCTCATTGCGCTCCAACTCTTCGGGAGACCATGCGCCCATCTTTTTCTTGACGTCCATTCTTCCTTTTGCTTTCTCTTGGATACCATTGAGCACTATCCAGTTTTATTTTCTTGATTTTTGTAGAATGTCATTTACAATGAAAGTCTTTTTCCGTATTTCTGTATTCGTCCATCTGTCATGTAATTTTGTTGAGCATACTTCTCTCAATGTTTCGTTGGCAAACTATTACTTTTTCAGCATCAACGTGTGGGCAAGTTTCACCCATAAGTTAGACATGCTTCGATTTGCTTTTACGTGGTTGTGGGTGTGTAAATATGTGTAATGGTATGTGTGGAGAAAGAATTAAATTTACCTCAAAAAACTATCTATGGGTAATTTGTTACATCGTAATCATGGCTTTTTAGAAACTTAGAAACGTCTATTTTGCATTTTTACTTACTTTAACTGCAAATACTTAAAGAAGAATTAGGTTTATTGTATAAAAATGTCCCAAAAAAGCAGAAAAATTATGCGAATGTTGAGAGTTAAATAGATTTACAAATTGAGTCCTTACGACGTTTGTTAGTCAGTAGTAATGTCCCCATCAAACAAAATATTTATATTAGAAAAATATATATTCAAGCTTTATTTGATAAAGTATTGATTGAAACAGAATCTGTAAATAACTGGTTTAACTGTACCATTTAAAACTTTGATAAAGTGTGACCCATCCAGACCCCAGAAGGGTCACGACCCCTGAAGGTTGGAAGGATGTCTTGTGTTAATTTCTGCTCTTGTCTACGTAGATACTATATATTTTTCTGGCTCCGAACATTAAGATCATAAACTATTTTGATTCTCAACTTGTGACTGAAAATTGGTCAAGTATTGTAATATTTTTTTATTAGATATGTGCGATTTCAAAAATTTATAATAAATTTTTTAATTTGTATAATTGCAAAACTAATACAAAAATAACCAATTTCTTTGTTATCGCATATAATCAACATATGCATTATAGTAGGTATATTGTTTGAAGACGCCATACATTACACATCTTAAAGGATATCCTTAGTAATATCCCATATTTCATATCCAGTAATGGAGAATTTACAAGCTGTCGCAACGAAATGACTCCCAAAGGTGGCCGCGATCTTCTCTACGTCGACGCTCCACACGAAAACTGCGTATCTGAAAAATAATGTGAAGTCTACAAGACTTCGGAAGCGTACTAAAATTTCAATTAACGAATTCCATTATCTATAAATCCATGTTAAAAATAAGTTCAAAGTGTTTATTTTGTATAATTACATTAAATTATTTTTGTTGATATCCAGAAGGTAAATAAAAAATGTATTAGTCTAATTAAACTGTTTCAAAGAGCTGATTTGCAACTTAACTATCGAGAACAAAGCCATGTAGTCCTTATGTAGTTTGAATTGTTTACTTTTTTCCAGTCCTTTGATTTATTAGTACTCGTAAGCTTCAGGGTCTCAGAATTTAGTTGCACCTCTATTCACGACCACAGCGCTGCGCCCCGATCGTCCAGTCGCGGCCAGCATTATTATTTATGACCGCACAAAAGTACATTTATAACAATATTACGCCTGACCGCGCCCGCCCTTGGAAAATGATTTTCCTATTTTCTCAGGATTGCAGGTGTATTATATTTCATGACCGTTATTTATGGCGAGAGTTTTATTACAAATGCGTGCTATGTCTCTATCTATTTTTTATTGGAGTCCAAATATTTGATTCACGATTTTCGGTCACACTGATATTTATGAGTTGTCTTTGTGATATCAATATTGAAATATGAGGGTCAGTGAGTGATATATGACAGCTATTACATACAGTTATGATGCTTTGACGTTTTGATAACATCTTATAATCTGTTCCTTTCGTTCTGTCGCTGACATGTCGGAATAACATTAATTCTAATATTAAAATTGGCATCCTAGCGATTATTATTTTTATTAGGCTAGCTTTAGAAGCTAAAGCCTCTTTTTTAAAGTTAAAATTCACTTTAGGTTGTTATCTATATATATAGGACTACGGGTGTAGATTAATAACTTGCTTTAAATGTTCCAAATAGCAACAAAACAGCCCTAAACATTACTCTTCTATTTCTTATGTATCAAAACAATTTTTTGATAATATTTCTAATAGTATTTATATCAGCGGTCCGTTAAGGCCCAGATTCATTTCTACGGCATTTGAACCTAACCAAGAAACCAAACCTTTATTTTTTCACGGGAATCTATTGCAATACCGAGCACTAATATGCTACAGAAGTGGTCATTCGTAGGATAAAACTTACTAGAAGACATCATTGTTGGCATAGTTTCGGACACGTTGGTGTTAATTTCACCTTACAGTTAGCACAGTAAACGTGATTTCTAGATATTGTGATAGCTCTCGATTTATAATTTGGGAAAGGGCCGGAATTCCCTGAAGATGGATATATCCGTCAGGGCGGCACCCTCGGTGCGAAGTCCGGCATTACGAGGCTCGCGGGACACGTCGCTCAACTCTCTCCATAACCAATAATCGTAAATAATCCACCTATATTTATACTCTTCTTTTATTTTCTTATTTGAAATAAAACCTGTTATAATCGTACACACGGTAAACACAGGAAAGAAACTGTAATATACCCCACATACAAACTCACATATATACATCATATAACACTGCCGAATCAGGTATT